ATCCGTTCCTTGTGAACATGTTTGCCTGTTTCCAGACCCCTCACCACGCCTGTTTTGTGATGGAATACACTCCAGGTGGGGATCTCATGATGCGCATACACGAAGATGTCTTTCCAGAGCATATGGCACAGTGAGTTAGAATTGCTGTTGTCTCCAGGCATTATAAATTTTTAACTTGAATCTCATATATTGCCTGATAACTATTTCTGTCTTTTAGGTTTTATACAGCCTGTGTAGTCTTGGGACTGCAGTTCTTGCATGAGAAGAAAATTGTTTATAGGTAATGCAGCAGAGACTCAAGACAGTTCAGCAACTTGAAGGTTGATTTTTCCTGTAGCTGTGTCTGGAGCTCACTTTCTTGCTGGGGTTTCTAATCTTTCTGCCTGTCTTTATTTTCCCTGTCACTATCAGCATGTTCATCGTGCTCACAGTAGAGAAAGTCACCTAGAAGCTATTCATCTGGCATGCTGCAGGTGATTAATCCTCTGTGACATGTCAATACATTCTGGGGGGCACCTGTAAGTCATTGCTTTCTTTTCACTGGAAAAAGTCATTTGTCTTGTTGTTGTGGGAGCTCTTTTCCAGATGAATAATCCCCACCCAGCTCCATGCTGCTTTTTGAGCCTTTAATTTAGGGGAAAATATAAATAAATTAATGGCAATCTTCCAAATAATGCATGATTAAACCAAATGTAGACTTTACTCAATCTAGATTTTATTCTCTTTATTAACATCTACCTTCTGCCTCTTGCAGAAAAGCCATGTTGGGTGACAATCCTCAGTTTTCATCCACTGTTTTCTTTCATCTCCTTTGCTTGCAGGGACCTGAAATTGGATAATCTCCTTTTAGATGCTGAAGGATTTGTGAAGATTGCAGATTTTGGACTGTGTAAGGAAGGTGAGCAACTGGAGAAGCTTAAATTGAGCCATCAGGATCAGTTTAGGATCTGGGGTTTAGTAGGTGTTTGTGTGTAACTTGTATTAATCCCCATTTAAAAAATTGACATCAAAAAAGCCAAACAACAAAAAACTCCTCACCTCTCTGGCCATGATGAATTTGGGAAGAGCACCTTGTTGTGTAATCTTCAGAAGACTTAGGAAAGCATTTAAAATGTGCTTGTTTGCTCAAAGGAGCCAGAATATAGGATCATATAAAACATTAAGATGAGTAAATAAGCAATGAAACATGCAGGAAGTTTCCTTGGGTTTGCTCTTTATTTAAGCATTGTCTGTATATTTGTTATTTGGAGTGGTTGAGGGCCTCAGGTTTTACACTTCTCACTGGCAATTCCCCATGCCCAGGTAACAACGTAAGGAGACAAACTACAGCTTTCAGGAGGTGAGGCTGCATCAGATCCATTCAGTAACTTGTGCTGGATTTTACCAAAGTGTCCTTTTCCTCCAGGAATAGGTTTTGGAGACCGGACCAACACCTTCTGTGGCACCCCTGAGTTCCTGGCCCCGGAGGTGCTGACAGACATCTCGTACACGCGGGCAGTGGACTGGTGGGGCCTGGGTGTGCTCATTTATGAGATGCTTGTTGGTGAGGTAAGGCCAGCTTCCCTCAGGGCATCTCACTAACCAGGCCTGGGGACCTGAGCACCCCAGGTAAAATATTGCTAAATGGAGCCAACTATTTATTAGTACCTCAGTTAACGTTTTTCTCATTCATAGTGCTTGCCATACAGTAATTAATTAATCCATACATATCCCTGCTAGTCTCATGCTTATTTAATAGTGAGGAATGGGTGCTATGTGGATTGAATAATAGAATGTCCCAATTGCAGTCACCATTCCCTGGAGATGATGAGGAGGAAGTCTTTGACAGCATTGTCAATGATGAAGTTCGGTATCCACGATTCCTTTCAACTGAAGCACTTGCCATAATCCGTAAGGTAAAGGGCTGCTGGGTCTCTGGGAGCCTGAGAAATTTGCATTTACTGTGTAAGTGGATCCAGAGGGACTTGATTAGGATTGTACAGCATTTGTGTGTGTAACGTAGAGCTGCCTATATAGGCTAAGGAAATATTTAAAATTTGCACATATTTCCCCTCCCTTCTCTTTACGTAAATGCAGTTCTTCCGTGTAAGGATGACTAAGCAGGCTGCTTACTGTTCCTGCTAAGTCTGGCACAGAGAAGTGTTGATTCAAGGGCAAGAATGTCAGAGCCATTCAGTGGAGATGACTGGATTCAGTTTTTAAGTGTGACCCCATAGTCACAGGTGCACAATTAAGCTGAGATGCTCCATGCAGTTTATGGCAGGTATCTTATTGCTGTTGGCAAATTGTTTACAAGAAACTAGGTCTGAGTTATTCCTGGCAGATGATGACCTTGGTGCAAAGTGAGAATGAGGAAACACCAAGGGATCAGTCCACCTCTTTGCTTTTGTTTTTCTCTCTGGAACATTATTTCTGTTCATTCTGGTTCCCATTGTTTAAATTTGAACTGATATCTCTGCAGCTGCTTCGGAAATGTCCAGAGCGTAGACTGGGAGCAGGGGAAAAAGATGCAGAAGAGATTAAAATTCAGCCCTTTTTTAAGGTAGGAACTTGGTTTAAACCTCTCCCTTGTTTCTTGTGTTTGAGCAGAGAGTGATTTGCTCTCTGTTGGTATTGAGGCTTATTTCCCTTTGTTATCAGGGAGATCTTAGTGATGGTTTCTGTTGCACCTCATTGTTTCATTCAGGAATATGTGTTTCAAGTCTTGCTTGAAATGACATCCCCCAAGTCTGTTTTCTGGGATCTTTATGCTTTCAGAGTCAGTTTATTTCTGATTATGCTGCTTCTATGTACAAATATACTTAACTTTAGAGACATGAACAAATATTCCTTTTAAAATTAAACTGCAGCATCAAAGGTGTTATCTAGTGATCACAGTGATTGTCAGTCAGTCTATTTGATCACCTGCATTTGCAGGATACACATTACTCTTAAAAGAAATGGAGGTTAAATTGCTTTGTGTCAGGGGTATGTGTTTGTTCCAGGCAAAGGTGTTGCCATCTCTCCTCATTATTGCTCATCTGTCCAAAAGTTTTTAGCCTTATAACCCTTACCTGGCTCTGTACTGGAGCAAGAAAAGAACTTGGATGTCACCAGAAATTGCTGGGATCCACAGATCCACCTGGCCACGGCTGAGCTGTAGTTTTGTCCTTCCTAAATACTGTCGTAGCTGTGAAATACACTGCAGGGAATCTCTGCCTTCCTTTTCTTACAGGGAATTGATTGGAATGCCTTGTTTGCCAGGAGGCTGAAGCCCCCCTTTGTGCCCACACTGAGAGATCCAACTGACATCAGCAACTTTGATGAAGAGTTCACCTCCCAAAAGCCAATCCTTACTCCTCCTGAGGAGGTTTCTGTCCTAACCAGGAAGGAGCAGACTGTCTTCAAGGACTTTGACTTTGTTTCCAGACATCTTTTAGATGTGTGATTCCTGGGCTACAGGAACATGAAGAGATTGTTACCACCTTGAGAGAGCATAGAGAAGACTTTGCAGGGCCAGTGGAAAAGCCAGCAGGGTTTGTAGTACAGGGAGTGCTGATGGCCCCAGCATGAGGTGCCCTGCAAGCTGAATGTGGTTTTCCAGCCTCATATGTAGGAAGGATGTCAGTTACCTTTAAGGAATAATGAACATTTGACAGGGTGTATCTTCTTCTGTCATTGAACGTAGATGAAATTTGGAATTTAAGCTGGACTTGAAATCAAATCATCTCTGCAACCCAGGTTACTCTTTGCAAAAAGCCTAAGTAAGTAGTGTGATTTTTAAAGTTGTAGCATAGCAGGGGAGTGGCCACTTCTCAGTGATTTTCTAGAGATGCAGCATTTCCTCCTGGTAATGATTGTATGCCATTTCCCACTCATAAAAATGTGTATGCCAGCCAAGGAATGGATTTTAACACTACCAAGACAATGATGTTTGATAATGATCCAAGTGATTTATTGGAAGGAAGATGAATCTTTCTATTTAAGGATGCCAACTCTTAACTATTGTTTATAATGATATCAAACTCCACAGCTTTGCACATGTTTTTTTTTTCTTTTTTGAAAATAAAGATACCTTTCTATATAATAAATACTCAGCTTTTCATCTCCTTTGTGTTAGCTGAATGTTTCAGATCAGGACTAACTAAAATGCTCAAAAGTCAGGACTTTTGTTTTCTCCATAAATGCCAGTAGTAATATTTTCTTTCTTCCTTCTCACTCAGGTTATCTGTACATGTTGCATGGTGTCATCAGCTGAGAGATACCAATGGTGCAGTCAGTTTATGTCTCCACAGATTTTATCAGTGTGTGCATTCTGTATCATTTTTGGGGACAGCTAAGTAATGACAGTCAGTACTGGAAAATCAGTGAGTTAAAGGTGATTTCATTGCGTCGTAATTTATCTTGTAATTATACTTCATAAGATACATTTTCATGTCTTAAATTCATAATGTTAGCTCATTGGGGAAAAAGGGAAGGGTTTTTAGAGATAAGGCATCTGATGCAAACAAGGACACAATGGTTGCTCTTTCAGTTTTTCACCAGATGGAGACAGGAGTGGGACTAAGGCAGCTGTGCTGTAGCTGGACACAAGGATCTAGGGAATTGTTAACCAAGGCAGGTCCCAGAGCTTCAGGATTCAGTGAGGTAAGAGCTCTGTTTGTGCAAACCAGGCATATTTCACACTCAACCCAGATTTCCTATTTTCAGAGCCAAGTATAGCTGCTTCTGAAAATTCCCATGTACAAAGATCCTTTCAACCTCCTGCTCACCCTGGCAGAGCACTGGCCTGTTTAGAGCAGGATACACATTTTCCTCACTCTCTTGGAGTGGCAGTTGCTGTTGGCCTCTGTGCTGTGTTCTGTGGCTTTAGTTCAAGGCCACTGTGCAGTGGGAGGCAGCACAGCGGATTGTTAGCACAGGTGAAGCCCAGAACTTGGTTTTAAAGAAAGAGTCATAGACAATTTAAAAATGCATATTTAATATTTTATTTTATAATTTATGGTTGAGTTAAAAAAAAAAAAAAAAAAAGGTAAATTAACACCCAGGTGTATTTTAAAGAAATACCAGACAGAGCAAAAGTGCTTTGAGCTGTTGTACCTGCTGATAAACTTTCACTTGACTGATACCTGAAGAACCAGGAATTGCAGTGTGACAGATGATCCACACTTCAGCAGGTACCACAGCAACACAAGCAAACTGCAGAATACTTCTGAATGGTGTACACTTATTTACAAAAACAATCCTTAGCATTCTGATATCCCTCTGATAAAGCTTCTACCCTGAACAAAGCAGACTCTGCAGAGGTTACAAACTCTGGAGCTGATCAAAAAAGGGATCTTTTGCTGCATTAAAATTGCTTTTGGACTGTCATGCTGTATTAGTAACTACACTATTTTTTCATGAGTATTCATCAACTTTAAACCCTGAGTGCTTCTGAGATGGTGTTAATTCCTGAGCCAAGACAATTAAGGCACAAGACAATTTTAGCTAACATTTTGTTGTGGTGGTTTTTCTTGTTTTGTTTGTTTTTGTTTTAACAGAAAAAGGTCAGGACTAAAATTCACACCACTGCCTTTTTTGTTTTAAAGCTAAGATCAGTCATCCCAAATTTCCTCTTAGTTCCCCATGGAAATCTGAAGTATGACTTTTTATTTCAATGGAAAACAGATTCTTTTGCTGCTGTTCTGAAAGCTGTCAGCATCTCTCATCTCAGGACCTGGCAGCTTTTCTCTTCCATTGAAATTGTATTATTTTATTAAAATGTCACTAGTGAGGTGAGGTAGTAGTAGTTTTACTAGCAGTGTTACTTTAGGCATGAGGTGCCCACCTCTGCTCCTGCTTCTCTCCCTACAGCAAAGGCCTGAGCACAGTTATCTGCAGAAATAACTCAGTAGCCAAGGATTACTTCTCTATCCAATGGAAAGTGATGGTATCATTCTTCACTGACTTGATTCAAAACAGTGAATTGTTAGCAGCATCATCAACTTAAAAAGCTGTGAGGAAGCTGCTCAGGGCATCACAAAATACAGGTTAATTATCTCATAAGATTATTTGGATGTCTTACAGCTCTTTCTTATGCACATTAACAGTATTAAGCTTTAAGTCTTCATGGAAAGCATTAAGTTGAGGCATGTGGACAAAATAAAATTTGCTTTTGGCTCTCTAAATATTTACTCAAATATTTCTCTTACATGCCTGATGCTACTGCCAAAAGGCACTGCAGTTCTCACAGTCAGAACTTGGCTGAAAAAAGGCCACAGGAATTACACTGATCCTGGCTGGTTTTATCTGTAATTGCTGCTGTTCCCTAGCAGCAAAAGGCAAGGGAGACCTTGGAGAAGAGAAGTGAACATGAATCTTGCATTTCTTCTTGAGAGATAGGATAGTGGATGCACTTAACAAAAGGAAATAAATTTAGAGATACCTTGCTCAGTCTGGAAATCAGCACTGCTGGCTTTTCCCTTCCCAGAACTGTATTCTTGCCTTTAAGACTGTTGTTTATATATACAAAATAACCCTGACTATCCCTTAAAGGTAATTTGCAGATGAACAGGTTGTGGAGCAGGTTGCATAGTCCACGATGTGTTGAAGTTCAGTGCAAGGAAAACAACAGCAAAGTTTTACCCAGCAACCTGCCAGGTGTGCTGGCACAGTGGGACTAGACAGGCTCAGTGTTCTTGTGAAAATAGATGTTCTCCCATGCAGTGAGGTGGCGTGAGCAGAAGAATCTCCAGAGATTGAGGATTATCCCTTGGTCAAAGGGGTTCTCCAGCTCGGAGTGCCGCAGGTAGGAGATGCGGTGCTGGGACATGAACTCCCAGGTTGTGGTGTTGCACGAGATCAGGTACAGGTGGGAAACAAGCAGCAGCAGGACCACAATGGTGAATATGAGTATCAGGAGGAAGGACACAAGGAGGAAAATGTTGTGCTGCAGCCACTCCCGGGATTGTTCAAAGTAAAGGCCTGACCTTTCAATTCAAACAGAAATAAATCTGTAGTTAAAGAAGCAGAACTAGTTTCACAAAGTAAGCAAACCCGATGACACATTTAAGTTTGATTCATAACTAATGAGCTGCTAATAATCCTTGACTGTAGAGAGTTAACATACTATGAAGTCCTGAGAGACTGCACCACAGGGATTGGAAGCTAAATTTAGAAGATTCTGTTTCCCTGACAGCTGTGAGACACAATCACCCTGGGTTAACTCCTCTCCTCAACAGCTGGAACCCTGTTGGAGTTTCCAGCACTTGAATGTGTAAACAAAGATTGTGTTACAGGGACTGAAGCAAAATGAACAATGAAACTTAAATTACCAGAGACTGCTCAAGACTGAGGAGCTCCAGGATGCAAAAGAGGGTGAAGATCCAGAGCCAGTCTATGTTCTATGCCAGCCCAAGGAGCACTACAACTACAGCAATCTCAGAGGTCCAAAAGCCATCTCCCAGCCTTACCAAGCAACATGGCCTCCCCACAGCAGAACCACAAGCTGCACACTCAGGTAAACTATGAACAGAGGGTGATTCCTTTCTCCTACACAGTTCTCAAGCCAGGGGCAGTGATGGTCGTAGCGCCGCACGCAGTGCTGGCACTGCTGGCAGTGCTTGGCTCTCATGGGTTGCTGCAAAACACAACCAGGAAAAGAAAAAACTTCACTGGCTATAGTTCATGGCTGTCCCACTCCCATTTGATAGAAGAGAACATCATGCAAATCTGGCTTTCCCCACAATATTGTCCCTAAAACACTTGTGAGACAGCAGCACATCAACATTGCTAAGACAAATCAAAGGGATTGTGATTCTCCTGGTCAAAGACCCACATGAGTGGCATTCAAATTAAGTGATTCTCCCACACTCCTCCTGTCTACACATTTTCTTTATTATCCACCTATTACAGGAAGTCCAGCGTGCCACGGAGGCAGACAAAGCCAATCAGTGTAGTCAGGAAAGCATGAGCCCGAGTATTGGAAAACTAGAACCACTACTATCAAACAGAGTGGGCAGGGATGTGATGCTTTCTGGGGATGTACAGAGAAGTGCCTCCATGTGGGTACAAAACACTTGCACAGAAAACAGCTCAATTATCGGGCACAGAGAAGGTGAAAGACCTGGCTGAGAAAAGCAGTGCTTCCTAGGATTTGTCCCCTGCAGTGTATAAATGCTTTGCCAGCTTTTCTTCTTGCAATAAGCTCATTCCTTGTGGCTGATACTCTTTGGGAATTTATGGGAGCTGGGGTAGTGCTTAATTTCATTAAACTGATAAGGATCACTCTGAAAACAAGCCTTTCTAGGCTTAGGCAAACTGTTTTAAGAGCTAATTTAATTGCTGTAATTTCTCCTTCATGCTGTCTTTTACCATTCAGGCCAATGTTTTGTTGTTTTAAGGCCCTGAACAAGTTCACAACAATGAGCAGTTCCCACAAGTTACACTCAGCTGCTTTTCTGGCTATCAAGGTATTTTCAAAATAACTTCTTTGACAGTACTGCAAGGTCTGGCTGACATGGCAGTAAGAATGTGGAATACAATTTTCTCATGGCAAAAAAACATTATTGTTTCTATAAGCCAGCAGGGACTTGTTTCAGCCTTGGAAAACTCCACTAGTACTTGTCTAGCTACACAGTCTGCCCAGCCTCCTCTGAGCAGCAGTTACAGACCACTAACAGCAGCTGAAGAACAAGATAAGCTTTCAAACCACTCATCCCTTCCTCTAGCAGCATGTTCTGGATCCCACCTTCAGCAGGCAGTAACCGCAGCGCCGCAGCTTAATGTCACCTGGAAGCTGAGGGATCACCACACCTTGGCCTTTATCTTCACCTTCCTACAAAAAAGAGAAAGGAATGGACTGAGAGTTCTTGGGCTCCTGTCTAAGCATGACTGAGCTGTCTTGCTACATACTTAACAGTTACACAGTGCTTGTTATCTCTGTCATTAGGAACAAAATAATTCATTAGAATACCTAGAGCATCTGCAGACAGTTATTGTACAGTGAGAGAAAACAGGTTACTGTAACCCTCCAAAGAATGTTAGCAGAGAGGCAGAAATAGCTGTGAACAAGATAATAGTCTGGGACAAAAACAAGGTTAGACTTCACTTCTAAACACAATAACATCTTTTTGGTATGAGCAGTGCTAATTAGTCATACACAGCCAACACTGACATTAATGATGGATGACTAAGATTGATAATGCTTTTGTCCTACAGTCTATAAGGCAGTGAACCTTAAGCAGACTAGCAGTTACTGAAACTTTGCATCTCCATTTATTTCACTGTAACTTGTTTGTGGATGTGTCCTCTGAGAGGGCAACAAATCCATAAAGAGTTCAATAAATAGAGCTGCAGAGAGCACTGTCTGCCAAGCCTGCCCTTTAATTTGGGGCCTTTTTTGCACTTGTACCACTTAGCAGTGGTTATTGTAAAATAGGTCATATACACATTCCACAGGGCACTGCACCCTCTGCTCTAGGAGAGGACTTGAGCTCAAATGGCACAGTTACATACAAGGGAAGTGTGGTGTGAAAGGCATATGTAAAGCCTGTAAAACCCTATTGCTGTTACCAAATACCAGTGTGAGACAGTCTGTCCTCACCTCCAGCGGTCTGTGCATGTGTCCTTCATGCCAACACAACAGAAACTGTTTCACATTGTTCTTATCTACCAGAGTGGAAAAAGTAGAAAAGCCCATAGATTTTACAGCTACTCCACTTTGTTCTATTCATGAAGGGATCTACCTTCACTTCCTCTTCAGGCTTAACAAAACCCGGATCCATGAGAGACACCTTGAAGTACAGCAGGATCGAGCATAAAACCAGCAAAAGGAAGATCAGCGGCTGAAGCAGCTCCCCGCGCTCCTCTTGCTTTTGCAGATCTGAAAGGTACCCAAAAAAGAGAGAGAGCAGCAGCTCCTTGTGAAACCTCCTGGATTTTTCTCTCTGGCCTCAACAAAGGGGTCCCGAATCAATGAAGAGGAAATGGGGAGAGCCGGGGGAGAGGCTGAGAAGGGACTCCCCAGACCCCCCGCTCTCGGGGCACCCCCGGGCCGCGGATCGCCCGTGTCCCGCGGGGGCTGCACAGCCCGGCCGCGATCCCTGTCCTGTGCCCGCCATCCCCGTCCTCCGCCTGCCCCCGGGGGCGGAGCGGCCCCGGCCCGGCCCCGGCCGCCCCCTCCCCGCCGCCCGGGCGGGCCCCGCCTCACCCGTGCGGTGCAGGAGGAGCCCGAGCGCCAGGGCCGCGCTGAGGGCCGTGTGTGCCGCCCGCACCCAGCGCCCGCCGGGGCCCATGGCCCCCTGGCTGCACCGGCTCCGGGGCTCCGCCGGCCCGGAAGGCCTCCGGGCAGCTCGGGCAGGGCCGGACGGGACACGGGCAGCGCCCCGAGGCGGGGCCAGGGCGGCCCGGCCCTGCGGGGGAGGCTCCGCTGGGCTGTTGGGCTGGTTCCACTCCCAGAGCAGGCCCGTGCGCTGCTGGCTGGGACTCCGCAGACACCGTGAGCCGGTCCCGGGCTGCTTTTGTCCCCCACACCGCCCCGGCGTTGTTGTGCCCTGCGGGGCCTTTCCTTGAGGAATGTGTCTACCCTGAGCCCTTCCCGCGTGTCCTCCCGCCCTCAGCCCGGGCTCTGGCGCGCAGGGCTGGGCAAACTCCTCAGAACCTCCGTTACACCGGGGCTGCTGGGTGTACGGAGCTGGGGAAGGCTCGGGCAGCAGGCGCCGTTCAAAGGCTCCTCGAGCTGGTTCCCGAGGTGCTGCTCTGCGCTAATCCTGCCCTTGCTAACGTGGATATTCCATGTGTTGGTTTCCAGCCCCAGGGAAGAAGCGAGGAGAGGCTGTGCCTGGCTGGAAACAGCTGCACGGCCCCATTAACCAGAGCCTGGAGAATGCCTGACATAACTCGAGGAGGGATTTGCTCTGGTTGAGATGGCTGCAGTCGAGAGGCTCCTGGCGGGGTGAGGTCACTGAACCCTGCTGAGCGCAGCAGGTGTGTATAGACTCAGCTGGAACAGACACCTAAAAGCAATTGAATTGCACCTGAGATGCACCTTCAATTGCACCTTTGATTTTTGTCTCTTGCTAACAATTAAAAAAAACCCCACCAATGTGACTATAGCACATATATATTTACACTTTGAGTGTCTAAGGGAGATGAATATTATCACAGATCTGTAAAAGTTCCAAAATCAATGTTTTCTCTTTAACTCCTTTCAGTTTTAACCTTGCTGCATTTGTTACCTTCTTTTCCAATAAAAATTTGGAAAGAAATATCATATTCTTTATAAATTTATCCTCCAGCACCTGGTAGTGGATTCCTTGGTATTGTTTGCCCACAAATTTAATATTTTAGCCTCTTCAGATGAGTCAGTGGCCATGTGCTGATGCCAGGAAAGCACCTGGTTGTGTGGGTCACTTAAATGGTTTACCTTAGACAGCTGGGTTGAAATGTCAATAAAAATTGTAAACTAAATTTGCAGCAATCATTCAAACTCTTTAAACTTTTTTTTTTTTTTTTTTTAATTCTAGGTAAATGCAAAGCCTACGGCTCTCTTCCCTCAGACACCTCAGGCTGTACTGGTGCCCAGAAAAAGGTGGGTGGTGTCTTTCCTTCTTCACAGAGAGGTGTAAATTTTAAAGCTTAATGAAAGCAATTTGAGTAGTAATAATATTATCCACTTTAAAGTAGAAACATTTTGATGTTCTAGAATAATCTGTCCAAAGGAATATATTCTCAATCTCTTTGTGATTAAAATAATTTGGTGCATGTTACTCTTTTTATTTTCTCCTTCAGCTTTGAAACCTGTCTTGCAGAGATCAGGGCTTATCTCTTGTCTCAAGGGTTTTAGCCTCGGTTGAAATTAGGCTCAGTTACAGGAAGTCTCTACTAGAAAGTTTCTGAGGAGAATCTTGGTTCCTATGGCATCCCAGCTCGGAATGCCCTGCTGCTGGCAGGCTAAGGTATCTCTCTGGACTTTACAGCATGTTTTCAGAGGCAGTTCAGTTTCACACAATGCTCCTCCCATCCTTTCACCTTGCTCCTTTACAGTGACCACTGAATGAACTGGCACTGAGCCCTGCCAGGACCAGGGCCTTACAAAGGAAGTCAGGCTGGCCAAAAGCAGATTGGCTTTTCCTAAGTGCTCAGATCCTGCCCCTTCCAAAGCCCAGGCTGTGGAGTGTGAACTGCAGACACATCACAGAGTCCAGAGCAATCTGGACACTCAAATATTGTCCTGATTTTTTTCTCATCTCACACAATTTCCTAACAATGCTCTCGTCCTCCACTGATTTCTTCTGTTGACAAGCAGTATTGTGTCTTTTGGAGTGATGAAAGGCAAAGGCACTGAACAGCATCATCAACACGTGGCAGTTCCTTTCATTTTTAATTAAATATATGACAGCCAATGGACCAATAATGTACCTAAATAAACCACATTCATAGAACAAAGGAAGAAGACACTCTTGAGCACTAGGTTTAATACAGAGCGGGTATCCAACGGATACAACAGAAAAGTTAATTCATTCAGAATTGTAAGGAAGCAACAGTTGTGCATTTTGATTTTTTTGCTCGGTTTCACCAGGTACAAACATTTGAACCAGGCCTCAGCATCAGGCAGGTCCATGGACAGAGTAAAAGGAGACGCTTGCTCATTATAACTGAGGGTATTTTCATTGCAAAACAAGGAAATACATATTTAATTAGCTTAAAAACTTTTTTTAAAACAAGGAAAGAGTTACAGAGAGGATCAGTGACAATTACATGAAATCAAAACAGTCTGCTAAAGCAGAAGTGTTTCAGTTCAGCAGAGTATCTCACTCATTCCTCAAGTGCTCTCTTCTCCTTCAGCCCTCATGTTGCTTTTCATCTATTCCTGATGACTATTGCCCTCTGTGCTTCATCCACATACATGGTTGTCATGGAGACCAGCTGTTTCCCCACTTTTAATCCTCTTTTTCCAGCACAAGCTGTCCTCCAACACCTGAGCTGTGGCAGACTCCTCCCTAAACAGTCTCAAGGAAATGTCTTTTCTATGGGTAGTGCCTGACTGCAGTGCCCTCTAGCTCTTGCCCTGCTGGTAATTAATTGCCTTTTTCAGGTAATGAGAGGGAATTGACTCACAGCTCCAAGACTTTTCTTCCCACTCATCTTTTGCAGAGAGCAGAGTGACAGCAGCAGAAGCCCAGCCAAGGTGACAAGCTGGGTAGGATTCAGGCTGAAGAGGGTAATTTCAGTAGGAAGGTGCAGGGAAACAGCAGCCATGGTGCAGATGAATTATCTGCAGTGTTCTGATTGCCACAAATATCAGTGCTAAACTTTCTTGGCTTGGTCTAGAAGAGAAAGTGCTTCTGGGTGTTAAGCATCATGCAAGTAGATGCCAATCCTTATGAGCAATTCCTCCCACAGATTTTGTAAAATGGAAGCACTGGTGGGAAGTTGCTCACCATTTTGCTCTTATCTGCTCCAGAGAACGTGGACACCTGGCACTGCTGGGTCACTGACAAGGGCCAGGAAAGAAACCACACACAGTTCAGGTAGAGGGTTCCTTTGTTGGCACAGTGTCTGCAGGGAGCTACTGAGTCGTGTTCGTGCTCTGCTTGCCAAGCTTTGGAATATTAAAGGCAATGCAGTAGTGAAAACATGAAGAGTCTGAGTGGGCCAACAGCTACTGTTGAGCACAAGGAGCCCCTCTGCAATATCCTCACATGCTGTGGACTTCTCTACAGCTGGATTTTCATTTGAAAAATAGAACCCCATTCTGGTTTCCTGAGCAGGGTTGGTCACTGGCTGTATGATTTTGTGTGGAGCTGAAGTTTCCTGGCTTGTTCCTTTGATCCAGCAAAGCTGGAAGGCCTGAGAGGCATCCTTGGAGCAGTCAAGCATTTCAGGGTATCAAACTTCCCCTTTTACATTAAACCTTCATCAAAAATCTGCACTTTGCCCTCCCTTCCTTTGCAGAACATTGATGTGATGTCTACAGGCAACTCTCCTGTTCTGTCCTCAGCTCTGGATCTGTGGCACCAATTAAATCCTTGCCACCAAAAACCGTTTTCAGGTCATGCATTATTCCTGTTGTTTCAGTCAGGGAAACTGAGGTCCAAACTGGTTTCAGGAACTGTTGGATTGTGCTCTGGTGCTCAAAGGATATTTTTTACTCTTTGATCCTTACTGAAGGGAAAATGTTATTTTTCAGCTCACGAAATCTTGAAGACACTGAAGTTTGTAGGCAAAGCTCATGTTACTCTAACAGGGGTGTTATTCCTTTTCATGTGCTGCCTCAGGCATTTACCTTGTTGGTGGCCTGAGTCAAAATCTTTCGTGAGGCTTTCTGCACTTGCCCAGTTAAGAGTTCTCTCTTTCACCTGGGAATGGTGACAGATTTCAGCAAGCTGAGCTTTTCTGTCAGCCTGGCCTGCTTCCATTCATCTCCTTATTGCTGGGAAACTGAAATCTTTTTATGCTGGTTTGGGAGGTACAGCTTGCTGAGGGTCTGTGAGCAGTGAGAACAGAGGTTACCTCTGCAGTGTGAAACAGCTTTGATGCAGAGTGGATCTTGTTAGTTTGGGATGTAGCAGGTGAGACTCCAGTAACTGCTCAACTTGTGGAAGCACTGGTTTGGAAAACCCAAACCTTTGGGGTCTCAAGGCAGACAAAACCAAGCCATTGGTTGTCATTAGCCTTGATGTAGTTGTGCCAAAGTCTCAGAGTAGAGCTGAACTGCTGGGCTTGGATTGCAGTGAGAGGCTGGGATCTGCTCCAGCTGAGATGGAGTTCCCCAGCCCCACTGTCTCCCCAGTGTGGCAGCTGCTTTCTGGGGACAAGGCTTTCTGATACCTCCCATCTGTCACCTGTCCCCTTCTGCTCTACTCCCACCCTGCCAACATGGCCAGAATCTTGAGTGCTTTTTGTCAGCTGGTTCAAGATTTCAGTGACAGGAGCTTTCACTACATGGGCTTTGGAAAGGAAGCAGATGTGGTGGGTGGTACTGCCATGTGAAACAACTTCCCAAGGACAGCAGCACTAAATGGGGAGTTAAAGAGCAAAGCCTGACTCCCCTAACAACCAAGGCTGTATTTGCAGCCCCCCTTAGTTTTGCATCTAGAAGGAAGGATTAGCAAATGTTACACAGCAAACAGATCTTGAAATAAGCTCACAGGGACACAAATTCTTGGGAAACAGGAATAAGAGAAAAATACATTTCAAATGACTGCAAAAAAAAGTATAATTTGTCAAGTTTTGCAATCTTATGAAAACAATTTAAAAGTGACACAAAAATATATAAGTTTGAAAAACACTTAAAAGAAAAAAGTACAGATCTCACAATACCAAAACAAATTGACGTATGGTTAAAAAGAAAAAAAAAAGACATTGAATAACACCGTATTGGCAGTAAAAGTAAACCTCTCCAGGCAGTTGTGTTCTGTCAGTTAAAGTGTCAGTTGTGGATCAAGGATCCATCTCTAACGTGCTCACAAGGACAACATGAACTCTGAGCATTTGCAGAGCCTCATAGCAGCGACTCAAATCTGAGAGCAAAGTGTACAAGGGAAGAGAGCAGCGAGTTACTGTGCTCTGAGGCCTGAAATGTGCCAGCCTGCATGGCCATGGGCCCATCTTCCTTCTACCAGGCACAACATCTTTTCTGAGTCCCTTCTAAGGCAAGATTTGTCAAAGAACTGTGTTAAGCAGTGGGCTGTGATATGGACAACTGTGCTGTTGAGTGCCTGGCTGTGAGGCAGAGCTTGGCCTTCAGCTTCTTTTGAACCATTATAGGTCTGGAGTGTCACAGGGGAAGGCCAGATCAGTGGGACTCTCCTGTCACCTGTGTCACACAGACTGGGACTGGGACTGCACTGGTAAGTGCTTCTGGGAGTCAACAGCAATAGGGCCTTCTGCTTCTGAGGGTAGGGGGAGATGTTGGGGTGGAACAAAAGGTGCTATTGCCCTTCAGAGGGTGCCTGGAGACTCCACACATCCAATTCCAGCAGCTGTGCTGCAGTGAGCTTCCTGGGAAGAGAGATTATGATGCTACTGAGCACAGCTTGTGATGACACAGACTGAGGAAGGGCAGAACAGCTCCAGTCCCCTCCTGGGACTTGCCCAAGGGGGTACAGCTGCTCAGGACCAGGGCCTAGCAGAGTATAGTATGCAGAGGGAAATACTCTGGCTTTGTAGTCCTTCCTTACAAAACAGAACACTGCTAAAAAAGGTGGGGAAGGACTGGAATGAAGATGTGTAGCCCTTTGTGAACAAACCTTGTGCCTTGTTGCACAGGCTCCCTTCAAGCCAAGAAGGTATAACTGGTTCTGCTGCTCATCCCTGACCTTCTGAGGCTGGCTGGGCTGGCAGATCCCACTGTACTGCCAATGGGGACAAAACAGACCTCTTGACTTTATTGGGGAAGTCTTATTTCCAAATGACCCACACAGAATTAGCAATGCATCCATTAATGTGAGTCTTCCATTAAAAAGCCCTTAAGGGAGTGAATTAGCTTGAAAAGCCTTCCCTAGTTTCTCCATTTCTAAGTCTCACTAAAACTTCTTTTTTAAAAAAGTTCTTTTGGTTTTTCTCTCTGGTATTGTGTCCCCCAACCTCTCTAACCAAATAAATAACTCATCACTGCCCCACTGAGCAGCCAATGCTGATTCAGGACTGGTGTTCTTGCAGACATCACAGGACCTCATGCAGTACAGCAAAAGGGA